AGAAAGCACCATACTTCCTTTTACAGCAGTTGCACCATTTTATACTCCCACCAACAGTGAATAAGGGTTCCAGTTTCTCCACAACCTTACCAGAGTTTGTTGCTTGCTGTTCTGTTAAATTTTGCTATTCTGACTGGGGTGATATGATATCTCATAGTTGTTTTGATTTGCATCTCTCTTAGAGCTAGGAATTTTGAACATTTCTTTTTGTGCTTGTTGGCCATCTGAATGTCTTCTTTGGTGAAGTGTCTGTTCATATCCTGTACCCATTTTTTTCTATTGGGTTATTTACCTTTATCTTGTTGTGGTGCTCAAGTATTTTACAAATTCTGGATATAAGTCCCTTATCTGATATGTCATTACCAAACACTTTTTGCCAATCTGTAGCTTTCCTTTTTACCCTGTTGGAGGAGTTTTTGGATGTGCATAGAGATGTATTTTTTTTTAAATACTTCCGTTAGTAGTTCATCAGTTTCTGGGATCTTCTCCTTTGTGTCCATGCTTTTTTAAAATTTCTTTTCTAGTTTGTACTGTTTTCATACAAAGTTCATAAAGTTCATATACATTGTTTTTCACACTGAACAATTTCTTTTAACAATTCTTTCTTTTAACAATTCCTCCCTCCAACCATCAAGTTGTGCAGTCCTATATTTAATCCCTCCCCCATTTGGATCCTAGTACATATTCTACAATATGGTCCTATACAATATTTGTCTTTATGAGACTGAATTAATTCACTTAGCATAAATCTCTTGAGTTCCTCCCATGTTAAGGAGTAATTTACAAAAAATATTGCTCCTACGTGTTGCATAGTATTCCATTGTGTGACTGTACCATAATTTCTCAATTCATTTCATTGTGTTTGGGCATTTGGGCTGTTTCCATTTTCTCACTATCGTGAACAATGCTAATATGAACATTAGCGTGCAAGTCTCTGTTCATGCTTCAGTTCTCATTTTCTTGGTGTATATCTCAAGCACTGGAATAGCTGGGTCATATGAAATTTCTATGTCCAGCTTTTTGAGGACATGCCAAACTGTCTTCCAGAGTAGTTGCACCATTATACAATCCCATCAACACTATATAAGAATTCCTATCTCTCTGTATCCTGTCCAACATTTATTTATTTGACTTCTACCTTCATTACCTTTGATTGGTCCTTGCTTACATGTTGCTTTGTGAAAAAGTTTAGAATAAATAAATTCTTTTGTTACAGTGACTATATTCCTACTACCTTCTTTTGGTAATTCTTGTGTGATTCAAGATCTTTACCCAAAGAATCCTTCAGTATTTCTATTGTTCTATTGCTGAGTACTATAGAGTTGAAATTGACCGATAGCTCTCCCTCTAGCCAGGTTTTAGAGGTGGAGGGAGTGATCTCCTATCTTTCTCTCTAGCAAACAGCTTGTAAATTTAAACCATGTTCCTTTGAGATTGCAGTACAGCTTCTTAGCACTAGACTCCCAGCAATCCTTCAGTATTGCTACTGTTGTTATTGTTGTTATAAGCTGTGGAGTGACTTGCAACTCATAGCAACTCTGTACAACTGCTCTGAAGCCTGCCCTTTCCTGACCCAGTCTTACTGATTCTGACCTATCTACCTTCGTTGGCCCAGTTACTGCATCAATCCATCTTACCCAGGTTCAGATATGTTGCTCATAGAGTTGCTATGAGTCATACCTGACTCAATAGCATCTAACAACAACTGTTATTCTACTGGCTAACTTCTTCATTCCTTCTTTTATTTCTGTCTCCATCTGTCTTTTATCCTCCTCTTCCCCCCCCATTATTTCTCTTTCTTTATATTCATCATCATCATCATTAATGAAAACAGTAAAGTACATAGAAACTTGTTGAGGTTGTGAGGACTGTTTGATTTCAGCCATTTAGCCCATATAAGAAAAAAAAAATGTAGAGGCCTTTTAACATAATTGAAATAACCTCTTAATTAATATTTAGTTGAACCTGTTATATTTTTTTTTAAATTTCGTAGTGGTTTATTCACAAAGTTCAAATACTTTGCTTTTCATACCAGATTTTTCATATTTCCTTCCCCACCCCCATTAAATTGTATAACTCCATGATTAATCCCTACCCACCCCCCCCACACCCCTCTCCTTCCACTCTCACACTTGAATCCTCATACTTAATCTACATTAATGATTTTATGTAGTATTTGTCCTTGTGGGACTGAGTTAGTTCACTAAGCATGATGCTGTCCAGTCCATCTCAAGTTAGGTACTAATTTACAAAATCAGTGCTCCTGTGTGCTGTGGAGTATTCCATTGTTTGACTGTACTATAATTTCTCAATCTATTTGATTGTGGTTGTGACAGAGAATAGCAATGGAAAAGTTGATGAAGGAGATCAATCAGAAGTGGTTTTGACAAAGACAATGGTAATATAACAATAGAAACTGATCCTTAAGAAATACAGCTTTTGTTGTTGTTGTTGTTATATGCCCTTGAGTCGCTTGCGACTCATAGCGACACTATGTACAACAGCCCTAAACCCTGATCTATCGTGCGCCAGCCTCACTGCCTCTGACACACCCATCCCGATTACCCCAGTCACTGAATCGATCCATCTCATAGAGGGTCTTCCCTTCTTGCGCCGTCCCTCAACCCTCCCAAGCATGATGTCCCTCTCCAAGGACCTGTCCCTCCTTACAATATATCCAAAGTATGTCAGACGAAGCCCCAGAATCCTTGCCTCCAAGGAGTTGCTTGGTTTAATCCTCTCCAGGCTGAATCTGCTTGTTGTCTTGGCAGTCCATGGTACATTCAATACTCTTCATGACAATAAAAAATAGACTCTTAGGGAATGTGGCAAAACAACAGCCTGAAGGAAAGACAAAAGAAATGGTCAAAGGTCACCATATGTCTGATAGGCACTGTGGGGCTGACTCATTCCCAGGTGACACCTACCTTGCTGACAATTGACAGTTGCTCCACAACTGCTTCCTGTGTCAAGAGACTGCCCTATAGGAGAAGGGAGGAGAAGGGGCCGGGGCCATGGCTGCCGGTGAGGCGGCGAGGCAGGGGGGTGGCCCGACCCCCGGCCCCGGGCCCTGGGTCCCGGGGAGAGGCGAGGACGGACCGATGGTCATGGGGCTCGGGAGCAGCCGCCGTTGGAGGACACGGCCCTGAGAGGCTGCCGGCCCAGGCGCGGCCCCGGGCAGGCCGTGTTGCCGCCCGCTGTGCTATGAACAGTCAGAGTGCTGTCTCCACAAGAGTTTACAAATGAAAATGGAGGAAATGTCTCTGCCTGGCCTGGATAACAGCAAACTAGAGGCCATCGCTCAGGAGATATACACGGACCTGATCGAGGATTCTTGTTTGGGATTCTGCTTTGAGGTACACCGGGCTGTCAAGTGTGGCTACTTCTTCCTGGATGACACAGATCCTGAGAGCATGAAGGATTTTGAGATCGTGGACCAGCCGGGGTTGGACATATTTGGGCAGGTTTTCAACCAATGGAAGAGCAAGGAGTGCGTTTGCCCCAATTGTAGTCGCAGCATTGCCGCCTCCCGCTTTGGTCCCCATCTGGAGAAGTGCCTCGGAATGGGTCGGAACAGCAGCCGCATCGCCAACCGCCGGATTGCCAACAGCAACAATATGAACAAGGCTGAGAGTGACCAAGAAGATAATGATGACATCAAGGACAATGATTGGTCTTACGGCTCAGAGAAGAAAGCCAAGAAGAGAAAATCAGGTAAGAACTCCAATTACCCTCGAAGATCCAAGTCTTTAAAACACAAAAATGGGAAACTTAGCAATTCAGATCCTTTTAAGTATAACAATTCCACTGGGATCCACTCTGAGACCCTGGGGCCAGAGGGGCTTCGAAGCTTGCTCACCACGCAATGCGGAGTGATTTCTGAACACACCAAGAAGATGTGCACAAGGTCCCTCCGCTGCCCTCAGCACACAGATGAGCAGCGGCGAGCTGTGCGGATTTGTTTCTTGGGGCCCTCAGCTGTCCATCCAGAGGTTGAGAGCTCACTGGATAATGACAGCTTTGACATGACTGACAGCCAGGCCTTGATCAGCCGGCTTCAATGGGACGGTTCCTCTGACCTTTCACCCTCTGATTCAGGCTCCTCCAAGACAAGTGAGAATCAGGGATGGGGTCGAGGTACCAACAGCTCTGAGTCACGGAAAACCAAGAAGAGGAAATCCCATCTGAGCCTGGTAGGGACTGCCTCCAGCCTGGGCTCTAACAAGAAAAAGAAGCCAAAGCCACCAGCACCCCCTACCCCTAGCATCTATGATGACATCAACTGACTTGGAAGCAAGGGATAGCCTTCGGCTGAGCAGAGCCCTCTCTCCCAACCCCCACTCAGGTGGCAGAGCCTGGCAAATGGACAGGAGCTGGGGGTTTGGGCTTGGGAAGCTTGGTGGGCCAGGCAGACGGAAGATCCATATATGCACCCCTGGGGGGTGGCAGGGTCCTCTGCAATGGAGCATGAACCCTCGGTGTGCAGGACTCAGACCTGGACATGTTATGCCTTGGACATAAGTTTGGTGGGGAGGCAGTTTTCCTATTTAATCTGTGAGTTCCTGGATGTCCAATAACTTCTCTGACCCATCCTGGCATATCTCTGACTCTCCCTCTCTCCTTGCCTGGGTCAGAGAACCTCACCAGAGAGCCTGAGAGCCAAAATAAAAGCTTCTTTGCTTATTTTTGTTTCTGCACCTGTTCTGCCTAACATTTGATGTGGAAACCCAGGACGAACATGTGCCCCCTGGTCTGTTCCTTGGCCTCAGACCAGGATCCTCTCGAGTTCAGCCTTATTCTGCCAATGTTAAGTCCACAAGGTCGTCCCTCCCTCCCTCCCTGATCCATCACCAGGCTCCCTCTCCATAATCACAGTCATGCCAGGGATTTCAGGTCTAGCTCCGAGGCCTTGGTATCTGTGGGGACACATCAGCTGCCTTGTTGCCTCTTCTGTCCTTTGTGTGGACGGACTGTTGCTCAGGGACTGGACAAATGATGGGATCACAAGTATCTAAATTTGGCCCTACAATAACTGCTAGGCTGTTTATTTTCTAATTGGTGTGAAGTACAAAATCGCTTAGACATCTCTGTCTTTGGGCCTCAGTACCCGCTCCTTAACTTCCACCACTGGCTACCTGATGGCTCTTTACTTTGATATCCTGATAGCCTTAGACAGCTATTGTCACAGGTTACGCAAAACTTGAAAGTTCTCTATATCTAGGCTTTTTGGCTCATTCTCTCTCCTCCAGACCTCTATTTGCTATGTTCCACTGCACAGGTGTTTCTTGCTTGGAAAAACCAAAAATTTCTTCTCCTGTTGCCACTCCCACCTCTGATCTTATCCCCCTCTGACCTGTTTCCTCCTGAAGATTTATCGTCCCCCTTTTTATACGATCAATTGCACCCACTGTGCCTCTCTCTCATCCTCAACACTCTTCATGCCCTAAATCTTCTCCTCCCACCTCCCTCTCTCTCTTCTCCTGTTAGCTCTCGTACACATTTTCATGACCCATCATCTAAGTGCTGTTCACTTTTCCCATTTCCTGAGTTACTCTGCTCCCTACAAGTGGCAGGCACTGAGGGAGTGGTTCGTGTCCATGTTCCCTATTCTGTCTGATTTGTCTGCTACTGAAAAATGTCTCGATTCTTTTTCTTCTAACCGCATTCTTTACCATAAAGAATTCCACTACCTAACACAAGCTTATGACCTTATCTGGCAAGATCACCATGCTGTCCTCATCTCTACCCTGGCATCTGATGAAAAAGTCCACATTTTAGCAGCTGCTCACACAGACCAGAAACTCCTCACAGATCAGACAGTGCCTATAGGCACAGTAGTCATCCCAGGTGCAGAGCCCACTGGGACTATCAACACGGTCAAGAAGGCAGGCACAGTCATGACCATATGATTCAGTGTCCCTTAGCAGGGATGCCAAGTGCCGCACAGAAAGTCATTAATTATAACTAACTCCAAGAAATAACACAAGGGCCAGATGAGGATCCAGCAGTCTTCTTAAATAGGCTAACTGAAGCTCTAACCCAATACACCCACCTAGACCCTTCAATTACATCAGAGTCTACGGGTTTAGCCACCCATTTCATAACACAATCTGCACCTGACATAAGGAAAAAAAATCCAAAAAAAAAGCTGAAGATGGACAACAAATGTCCACCCACAATTTAGTAAACACAGCTTTTAATGTTTTAAATCCAGGAAGGACAGAGCTGATGCAATAAAACAGGCTCCGATGCATCAAAAGGTAGCTTTCCACACCCAAGCCATTGTAACCATTCTCAAGTCGGCACCCCAATGTAAAAAGGGGCCTCAGCGGGATCTCCCTTCAAAGCCTACTCCACTGAGCCCATGCTTCAACTGTGGCCTAGAAGGTCATTGGGCACAACAATGCCCACGCCCCTCCCCAGCACTACCATCAAAGCCTTGCCCAGCTTGCAAGTAACTAGGCCACTGACAAAGTGACTGCCCCTGGTGTGAGCTCATGCTCTGCGCCTCAAGGTGACGGCCACCCAGCAGTCCTGCCTCTTGAGCTCCTCTGCCTAGTGGATAAGGACTAAGGTTTCTCCGACTCAAGAACCCCTATTACTCTCGCCTGAGCCCAAGGTGACTATAACAGTAGCTGCTAAGTCTTTTTCAATTTTAATAGACACAAGGGTGACCATCTCTGTCCTCCCTGCCTTTTCAGTTGCTACAACTCCTTCCCAGGTCATGGTTATGGGAATTGATGGAAAGCCTACTTAACCACGGGCAACTCCTCCCTTGTCATGTGTGGTAGATAAGATACCTTTCTCGCACTCATTTTAAGTTATGCCTTCCTGCCCTGTCCCCTAGAGATATTCTCCAAAATCTCCGGGCCACTATTTCTATCCTGCTCTTCTTTTGCTAATTTCTCACCTATCAGCATTCTCTATTTCTGACCACCATTTGTCTTCTGATATCGTTAATCCTGTACTCTAGGATACCTGAGTCGGTAGTAGCCTCCCACCACCCACCTGTTCATATCTCTCTTACAGGTCCTACTAAATTTCGGTCACACTCCAAGTTTCCTATCTCAGAATCTCATCTTCATGGTATCTGTCCTATTATTACCAGGCTTTCAGCCAAGGCCTTCGAATACCTATCAACTCTCCACCTAACACTCCCATTTTGCTGGTACACAATTTCTCAGGCACTTATAGGCTTGTCCAGGACCTACGTTTCATTAATGAGGCTAACCTTCTCATCCACCTTGTAGTCCCTAACCCCTACACCTTGCTTTCTCATATATCCCCTGAAACCACACATCCATCCTTGATCTTAAGGATCCCTTCTTTACTTTACATCCTGACTCCTACTTCTTGTTTCTTAGCACCAAGAGATCCTTTATTGTCAATGCTACCATAATCTCTAAGTTACTGAAAGCTGTCCTCCTTTCTGCCGATGTACACGGCAAAGGCCATCAGCCTTCCTCTGATCCTGTCGCAATGGGCAACACTAAAGCAGATGCTATAGCTCGAGGCGAGGCCTCACTTCCTCCTCCTTGTCCACTGCTCCAGTCTTACTCCTTACTTCAGATATCAGTCTCACTTACTCTGTAGCCGAAATTGACATTTTACGGGCAAAAGGAGGATGCATCAAGTCTCAAGGTTGTTCAGAAAGTGTCGACAATGCTCAACATCATCTGGAAACTACATAAATTGTACTACTCCCAATCCTCTGGAAAAGTAGAACAGGCAAACGGCCTTCTCAAGGACCAGCTGACCGAATACAGCCTTGAGGTAAAGCCCTCATGGCCTACACTACTTTCCCTGGTGCTGGCTCACCTATGTGCTGCTTCATGTTCAGCTTCAGGGCTAAGCCCCTTTGAGATTGTTTATGGCAGCCCCTTCCTTTTAAACCATAACTTTCCACAGGAACCTCCTCTGCTAGCATCTTATCTGTAGATAAGGTCTCTAACCTCTATCTATCATCTATCTATCTATCTATCTATCTATCTATCTATCTATCTATCTATCATCTATCTATCATCTATCTATCTATCTATCTATCTATCTATCTATCT